ATCTGTGCCCTCTGACAGAAGAGTGCTGTGGGCAGGGCTGTGATTGACAGAACTGTGCAAGCATCTCTTCAGCCTTTGGCAGAACTTCTGAGTTTCTTGGAGAAGCATCAGTGTTTAAAGGAATTCATCCGAGCAAGCCTGAAGTTTTCCGAAGAGGGAAAAGTCTACCTGATATGGATTCAAGAGTAGTGAGTAGAGTTTTTAAGAGAGACATCCTGCTTTAGGAAAGTTTTACTGGTTTCTGCCTGGGCAGGATTTAGGAAAAGCAGTTTGAGGCCCTAACAAATTATTGTTGATTTCTAAAGCAAACAAAACCAAAAAATACCCCACATCAGAAAAGTATTGCCTGCTTTAAGATGAACTTCAGTTCAGAAATGTTGTTCTCTAGAGTGTTCTTTATAGAAAGCAAACAATGTGAAGGTGTATGTGCATAATACACACAAACATACGATGCTTGGACTCAGTACTGTCCATCTAATGTTCATCATCATTATCCTCTCCCTTCCCTATTCTAGGAATCTTACGGTTTGTGCAGTAATTTTCACAGCATGATGAAACCTCTTTTATAGGAAAACCCATTTAGTTATTTTATTTACTTCAGAGTAATTTAAAGGTCAAGAAATAGTTTTAAATACAGTTTCTAAGAAATACAGTTGGATTTACAATTATCACTGATCTTATAAAACAAAACTTTATAGGTAACATGCTGCTAGGAATTATATACAAAGACTATTCTACAAGTATGAGAAATACAGATTTATATGAACTTATATATGTTTCGTTAAAAATATATTTCACGCTTTTTTATTATAAGCAGAACTCAGAATGAGAACACACAAAATTTGGAGGCACTGGAAACATCTGTGCACCAAGTTACAGTTAATAGTAACAATCCTCAAAAGTCTACCAGAGAAAGCAGTGTATCTAACTGAAGAATTAAATTAATATAGCTACCCACTTGTCCTCTTTAACCGAAAGAAATACAGAAAATTAATTGTCTCGACGTGTATAATCTCTTGTTTGAGATCTGGCAGCAAAAGGGAAAAAAGCTTATAAAACTGAAGCACAAGTGATACATCATAAGATCTCTTTACAAGAAGCTTACAACACAGTTTAATATCTATACAATCTCTTTAATAAATGGAATTTCCACTGATTGTTTACAGGTTTCAGTGCTGTATCATCTCATCCAGTCTTTCTAAGACACTCTGCTTATGTAAATAAGGATTAGTTAGCAAAGTTAATTATGGTGAAAGAAAAATGATTGTTAAACTTGAGATGAAAGTGGTGCCTAGAGAGTGTCTGCTGCCTTCTACTCACAGATGCTAAGGCAGTTTTAATTAGGACCTTGGCTATTCCCCAGAGGTCTTTTCTGGAGGTCGCTGTACGTGGTATAGAGTTCCGAACTAACTTTGGAAACATAACACTGGGTACCAGAGGGCTAACTGCAGCAGCGTAAAATAATTTGCATTTCTAAGAAAAGTGAATAATTGAACAAAATAAGGTACCCAGTTCAACACAGTGTTCCCATATCACATGGATTATCAGATCAATTCCACATGGGAAACTTGTTCTTGAAACAGTCACTTTACCCTTAGAGACAGTCATTAGGATTCAAGTGCTTAAGAGTTGCTAATGATTTCAGCGGAAATAGGAATGAACTGGAATTTTGGAGGTGAACAGAGCTAACTCCTATGCAGTTGTTGCCCACCGGTATTTTAGAGTCATTTCAGTTAGCCTTGTCAGAAAGTCAAGGTACTAACTTAATTCCACGTGAAAAGAGACAGTACAGTTGTGGGTTGCTGGAATCTTGCAACAAGGCACAGAGCTACATTTTCCAAGGTTGCACGCTTCGATGATTAAACCAAAAATCCTTGCACGTTTTGGCTCCGCTGTAGGTATCCCTACAGTCTTTCCTGTTGTGATCTGTTAGACTGAAGTGGCCAGTGCAAAGAAGTACAGCTGAGAAGGAGCGCAGGGGTGTGTAAGGGTCTGACTGTGCCGTACGCGTGTAATCGCTGCAAGTACCCGCTGCAGGAGCCGCCTGGCGTCTCAACACCAGGGTGCTGATGAAGGACACAGACAGGACTACATTTCTTTAGTAAAGGTTTCCTGAAATTGTTGAAAGAAAATTAGTTGTCGCCATTCATATACGTGATGTAGTGACATGAATGTGCTCTTCAAGATGTTTTCTTGTGTGGCTGTCAGGAGGGCGCTAGTAAAGCCTCTCAGATGTGCGTGATTAAAAGAGGCACGTCTAGACTTTGTGAAAAGCATTTTCTATATGAGTAGTTAGAAGAATTAGAAATGTATTTTTTATCAAAAAATAGGTGATTAATCTGTATTTTAGAGGTGCAGTCTATTTAAACCTGGTAATTGAAATAGGATATTTTTTTTAATTCTTTTTGAAAGTGTTTAAAAAATCATGTTTGCACAGTGTGTTCTGATCCCAACAACTTTGGTCTAGATCAGAGAATTGGTGAAAAGCTCTTCAGATGGGCATTCAATTTATACACTAAAATACAAACCTATTAAATACGTCATTCTTGATGGATGTGTGAGTTTAGCCTTCAAAGGTGGAGATTCCTCAGGGAATCTATTCCAGTGCTGTATTAGCCTTACCACTAGCTTACCAAAAAGTAACATGATTCTTCCTTGCTGTAATTTAAGCCTGTTATTTTATTATTGTCTGCCACTCACGTGAAGTAGAAATGATTCCTTTTGTCATTTCAGGGCCGTCCTCTTCCCAGACTGCTTTTTCTTCTTCAGGTTAACCTTTAACAGTCTTTTTAGTCTTCTTTTCATAAGCTGTATCTTCCCATACTCCATTTGCCATCATTGCTTCTCTAGACTCTGCTTAGTGGCCCACATCTTCAGGGTAAGACGTGGAAGGACTTGTCCAAAACTGGGAGAAGTGCTTCAGCTGAAACGATGACAGTACTAAGTGGAAGGATTAAATCATGTGCTGCTTAGACCGTCCTGCTTCCCATACCCTGCAGTTTACAGGAACAGTCTGGGAGAGGCATTCTCTGGATTCACACACAGCAAACAGAGTCAAGAATCTGGAATTATTTAATATCCCTTGAAATAAAAAGGAGGAATTGTCTGACACTGCCTTGCTGTAACTTAGTGTCCTTTTCAGTGGATTACTTAGTGTGGAGTGAGTGCCATCTGGAGGTTAGGAAACATGGAGCTCTGTATGCTTTCATGCTGAAAAACAAAATCTCCGTGCTTTATAAATGAAATGTTCTTACGTGAATAGGAGCTTCAGCCTGACTGGTACTGTACATCTGCCACAGTATAGAGTTTGTGACCTATAGAAAGAGTTGAGGCTGCTCCGTATAACTTAGAGTAAAGCGTGCAAGTGTAATGACTTTTCAGTATTAGGCAATCACCAGTAAATACGTGGCCTCTGAGTAGCCTGTGCAGTTTTTGGAAGAAGCTCTGGACAACACAGGGACAAGGAAAGGCTTGATCTGCTTTCTCCTCTCTTTCAGATGTTTGAAGACAAACCAGTTCCTGCTGCAGTTTTCTGCTCAGGAGAGAGCAGAAAGCATTTAGCTGAACAAGAAGGTGTCTTTTTTAAAGAGTAGGTTCCCATTTGGTGTGTCTGAACACAGTTGTCTGCACAGAGTGGAATCAGTCCTCCTCACCTGGGCTAGTTGCGTGATGTGGTCTTCCTTCTTCTCTAGTTAGCTTAGCTGTCATTTCGAAAGCCTTAATCTTCCAGTTCTTGCTACATCGAGAAAACCAGGAGGAGAACTGCCTAGTACTGTAACTTCAGTGAGTGGGATTTGGCTCTTCTTTCTACAGTGTCTTTTGGGTTTTTTTCCAGAGACCACTTGGATGTTGACAGTGATCACACTGTTCCACCCTGCCTCTTGTGCTTCAGCTGCTGAAGTCTAATCATAAAACCAAATAGCCTTAGTTGCAAAGTCTTAAGTATACGTACCTCCACCTCAGCCTGGTGAGAGATTGCAGCCTGTTGTATCAAGGCACCGCTAATGGCTTTTATGCTGATCTCCACCTAGGACTGAGCATGGTCCTACAGAAGCTACATGCGGTTCAGAAGGCAGATATTGTATGTACGCTCTGCATGCTCTGCTGATTACTGCTTTTTCACAGGTCATAAAGTTTGCATCTATGTAATGAAGATGCACGAGCAAACAGGCTTTAGGTATTGTGTTGATTTAGCTTGATGATGATTTTCCTGAGCAACCACAGATTTTAGGAACTATGAACCTATTAAATTCGAGGTTGATGATCCTGAGAGTATAAAATAGATTGCTGACCCAACATGCCTTCAGAGAAAAACGTGAAAGCCTGCTTCCTTGTTAATGAGTTTCCATGGCCTAAACCATAAAAAAAGAGTAAGAGAAGTGAATTTGAGAGCAACAAATCTAAAGAAAAAAAAAAAAAAACCTAGCCTGAAAAAAATTTGATCTCTCTTCCTCAGCAGGGAGGGGTAAAAAAGCACAGAACATATCTCATGTGCCTTAAATTTTATTATTTAGAGCAAGCTTAAACATGCAGATGACAAAGGCTGATGAATCCTTGGCTAACCACATGATGTGCAACCAGCTGCTGTGTTTTATTGCGCTCACTTTCAGAATTGGAAGTATGTTGTTTATGTTAGGACTCATCTGAGCAGGTCTCCATTAATTGTTTATTTTCAGGAGTTTAAAATTCAGGAAGAAATTGCCTTTTGGCTGTAATCTCGTTCTTTCTGATGTTAGTGACAACCCTACTGTAGACTTGCATGGGAAGATGGATGAGGTCTGTAGAGCTAGCTCTCTATATGGCCCAGTCACTCCAAATACAAAGAGGATTGACTCCTACAGCATTCTTGGACAACATCCATCTTTGCTCTTGGAAGAAAATTCATGCTACATGTAGTATTGGTCTCTGAGGAAAAGACTGGGGAGTTTTTTACATGCTGCGGAGTCTGCTGGCTAGAACTGTTCAACTTGCTTTGTTATTGTTATATTTTTACTAAAGCACTAGGAAAGCTGGAGTTCACCCTCAAGTTTCCTTTTTCGTGCTCCACTGCTGAAGAAGTAATCCATGTTTACCAGAGCCCTGCCAAGTTCAGTATTCATTCGACTCCCAATAGTCTGGTTGGTCGAGTTGGGAACTGTGCTTGAGAACACAGGCATATAGTTTGGCAGTGGCTTCTGCTCCTTTTTCCTACCCTGGATAAAAGAAAGACTGTTACAAGTTTTCAGAATTACATCCATTACTTTTTACAAAAACACAAGTTGCTGAGATTATTTATAATATCTGCACTTTTGCTTTTGAAATTAGGATTTGTACTTAAAAATGTCATGCTGAATGTATATGAAAAGTGTTGAAGAAATAAAGTAGAACGATTTTTTTTTCCTGTCGTCTTACATGGGAATAGGATAACGGGGAAATGAATCATTTTCAAACGTGTTGCATAAAATGTCAGCTGGGACAGAAGTTAGCCTGCTCTAGAATGGTTGTGATGTGGGAGATTTTTTGTTTCGTTTTTAGTAAGTGGCTTGGATTTCAGCATGAAGACATCGTCTTACAAATTTTATCCTAGGAAGTTGGTTCTTCTAGCACTTGTCTTTCTATGGAGTTGTTAATATTGAAACAGATTGAATACACACACGTACTGTATTTCTTTGTGGCGTAGGTAGCAGATGAAAGGCACTTCAGTTCTCTTTTCTTTCTCCTAAAGATTTTATTCTCAGAGCATTTGCCGTTTATGCCTAAGTGTGCTTCAGTTTGAAATATTAGCCTAGCTCAAATTGATGAAAGCTAAAAAAGAGCCTGGATTACAGTTGAATGTTTGTTCAAAACTTACCATCTGGTCATAGTCCTTTAGGAAACTCCAGTTCTGGTACCTTGGAATAGAAGTAAAAAATGCAGTGTAAATTTTTTCTGTCTTAAATAAAGTAGTTAATGTTGGTCGTATTTGAATGCCTGTTTAACTGCTCAGTTTGGTACTTACAGTCCAGCTCTTACAGCTGTGAAGTCCTTTTACTGAAACCTGTCTTTTCTGTGGTGAAGCCCAGGGTTTTCTTTATTCCCATATAGAGCCCATACTACATGAGGAGTGTTTTGGGTTTTTTTTTTCTAAAGGAAGGTGAAGATAGCATGTCCACAATGTATTCTATGGGCAAATGCAGATAAATGAGCAAAGTCCTGAGTCACTCTAGCAAACTTTTGTTCCATGCCTTGAGCAAGACGTAGCTTCTCAGTTTTTGAACGACAGATATTCCACTGGCAGAAGTCCCTGATAGGAATTCCCAGAGCCGTATTTGCTGAAGGCAAACACTCACGGGAGTATTTTGTGCAGACAGGCAGTGGTGCTAGGAGCAAATTGAGTCAGAAGACCTGAGGTTTGCTTTTCAGCTCTATACCTGGTGTGCGACTACAGGGCAAGTCCTTTGATTTTCTGTCCTTTACTTTCCCTGGCCTGAAATGGAGAAAATGAAAGTTCACCTGCTATTGTAAAAGTACTGTGAGGTCAACAGAGGAAGCAGTTGTCTACAGCTGTGTTTCCAGCAGGGCTTAAAGGCACCTGGGTTGACTTGGAGCTGGTTACCTGTGTCTACACAGTGCTGCATCTAAGGTCATCGATCTAGTGCTGAAGCTGTATCTTCTGAGTTGAGCTTGTCTGTACAGCACAGCCATGTACTACATGGAGCATTGGAGTGTTGGATTTCTGTGCTGCATCTAGTGCAGATATGCCCTAAGTGAAAGTAAAAGCTAATTTATGATTGATGTGTTTATCACTGTATGTCTTGGTATACCAGCACAGCACAGAGGTTCTAACATTTTTTATCTTACTATGTCAGCTGCTATTTGAACATACTGGATTTGGGTGTTACTGGATGGTGCTAATTACTGGGAAGTGCTTGGGTCTCAGACATTTACCTATATCCACTTCAAGTCAGACCACCAACAGATAGGAGCCTTTCCCCATCATTGTTTTTGGGATGGGGATGTGGACCTGAAGGACAGTTCTCTGCAGGCTATAGCATATCCCAGCTGTAGGCATCTGTCCTTCCCTTGTCTGTCCTACTCTTTTACAAGAGTTTCTCTCTTCGTAGCTAAGACTGGAGAGCCGGACATGCATCAGCTGTATGGTGTGTTATCTTACTCACCCATGAAAGTGAGTTTGCAGCGGTATCCATGACTGTGAACCCCAGGGGCAGGCACAGACACAGAGTTCCTCCTGCTTCCTTAGCTAGGGAATGGGTGTGGAGCATGCTGGGCCCATTTGGGTAGATTCTGAGTGCATAACTGGGAGAGAGTAACATTGCCACCACAGCCTTGGCTTTGCATGAGTCAGAGTCCTGGTGTCAGCCCTTCCCTCAGGTGAAAGGAGGCAGACAAGAGTGCAAATGCGTCTCTGGGGAAATCGGAACTGAGATTTGTATCTCCTCCAGAGGGCTAAGCAGGACAGGGGTTTTCAAATGGTTTCTTTTCCCATTCTAAAAAACCCTGAGAGTGATGTTCTTTTTCCTCCCTTTCCTTTAGCTTGGCTGGTGTGCAGTTGGAACTGGATCTGATTTTACTTTTACCAAGGATATTCTTCTAATAGGCATGCTCTTGCTGTGTACTGAAGTATGAACATGAACACTTACTCAAGATATGTGTCCGAGACAGAGATAATCTTAAATTTTGAGTTCCTTCAGGTCACTGGTGTATACACAGTCAAAGCTTAGGTGGTATGTGTGCAGTTTGGTCTGCTGAAACACTGTAACAATGGAGCATGTTCAGCAGATCTACGGATTGGGAATACAAAATCATATTTTGGCAGAACACTCTGTTCAGCTTCCATTTTAGCCATTTCCAAGAATATGAGGAGAGGTGATAATATCAGTGTGTCTGCAATAAATTATAAAGGTTGGCACATTTATATCTTCATTGTGGAAATCTCTATAAAGCTAAAACATACTTAGCACGCAGTTCTTTGCATCTCTTTTCTTAAAGCTTAAGCCCAGCATGCCAGGAGATATTAGCATAGATTTTGTCCAGTGAAGGAAAACAGAGATAATACAGTCTTAGAAAGAAAGGTGTTAGGGTCTGATCCAAAGTCCCTGCAGAGGAAAATTTCCTTTGGTAGCATAGGCTTTGGATCAAGCCCTAAGACTGTCAGAGAGTATCAGTACCATTGTCAAGGTGAGTGGAAGAGACATGAACTGGAACAAGTGACTTACCAGATTTTTCTTCCTCTCTGTTCAGCTTCCACAGACTCTCTCCAGATTTTATCCTGTTGAACCTGGTCCTGCTGCAGTGCTGCCTCCTCGTCTGCCCAGGCCTGAGTAGCCGGTTGTGCAGTGATAGGTCTTCTGGGTTGGGTGCTGCCGAGAGACACAGATGGAGCTGAGGCTGGTTGCCCCAGAGGTGTGGTTGCTGGTTGCCAAGACCTAACCAAGGTATTTCTGGTGAATCCAGAATCCTTTCCCAGCTTGTGCATTTTGAGACTCACCGTATCCCCAGTATTGCTACTTATATTGTGACTGTTAGGAAAGTTGAACTTGCTATTGTTTGCACTTTCAAAGCTCCTTGTCTCCTAACGTTTTCTTTTAGCTGCTGATTTGGAGTGCTTTCAGAAAAGGACACAGCACAGCAGCACTGACAGGCAGTGCTCAGCACTGTTTTACATCCCTCTTACTTAATGCTCATTTCCTACTGCTTTATGTTGCTTCGTTGCTTGAACGCTGAAGGAGTTTTCATGGTAACAGCAATTTTGTAAGAAATGACTGTTACTGAAAGCCATCGGATCTCCAGCTGTAACCAGCAAAATCTCAGCTTACCAGGTGATTACTGCTGCTTGCAGCTGAGACCACCCTCTCTTCAAAATCCTCAGAACAATAAAGGCTGATCCAATAGCAAAGGGTGCTGTGGAGATTGCTGCTGAGTATGTCCGGAGGACTTTTGTTGTGGTTATGTAGCAGAAGCAAAATCTCAAAGCTGCTGATTTCCCCGGTGTGTTTACTGTCACCATTGGAAACGAGTCTGACTTGTGAATATTCACCAGAAAGGGAGCAGAGACCCAGTGAGACAGCAGCTGGGGCCTTGAACTCTATTTGGGGCAGAGCTTGTTTGTTTGAAATAAGGTATTTCGACGAATCTGTGCTTTGAAAGCTCCTTATTTTCAGATTTTTTTTTTTAAAAAAAGAGCAGCCAGACATCATCAAAAGTCCTTTTTAAATACTTAGAGGTTTCTGCAGAAGGTATTAAGCAGCTATGAGAAGTAGTTGTTAAGTAACTTTAGGCAGTTATTAGTATACAAAGTGAGAATTTTTAAAACAGTGTCCAAAATGTCAGTGTTTGTCTTTACGGTCAGCCTGTTGAGCTTTTGTGGTATGAAGTCACTTCCTCAAGTATTTGTGACCTTGCAGGAAAATGCAGTATTTTAAGTATAAATTTCCTCAGAAATTCTTGTCTGACTTGTTTTTGAGTAGTGTGGATTAGCTCCAGATGGATTCTAGCCTCTTGCTTCATCTTCCTGGTAAATGCTAATGAACTTTGAATCTACTTTTTAAAGGGTTTTTTGGCAAACTTACTTCCTTGCAGTATCGGGAAATACATGCTGAATTTGGCATATAATTTCTTTCAAAATAGTTACAACTATACAACAATCCAGACACTTCAGGAGACATATTTGAGCAAGAAGTACTTCTATATTTGGAAAAATTATTCTGAATTTGAAGACTACAGTAACATAAATTAAGAAGAGGTAAACTCCACCTCAAACCGCAATGTTTGCTTCTGGTTTGAATAAAATTTTAGTAGATTTGAGTTGATTTGCTTGTTTTCTGTAGGTAATTGACACCTAAACAGTGTTTTTAATCTCTTTCAGCCAAAAAGCTAAAAAAAGTCATGTATCCGCACTGCATTATCATGAACTGAAGAAACAAACTGTATGCCAACCTGGCCTGATAGTTGTCTCTGTTCCTCTTGTGGAATCCGCTTATCCTGCTGCATTTGTTCCAGGGTCCTCTGCAAGTTGGAGTGTGTGCAGCTGGTTGGAGAATGGGATTTTAGCAGCATCTAACTGCTTTAAAAGGAAGCTGAGGCATGTTTGGAAGACCCAATGTGTTAATCAGAGTGCATGGGAATTTAGCTCCTGATTCAGGTCATGAAAGGATCCTGATGCCAAATCTGTTCCTCTGCATGAAACGTTTTTTAATTCTTGTTTACAATCTTCTTGTGTTGTTTTAATTCTAATCTGTCCTTCAAGTCAATTTCTGTAGATTAAACATAATAATAAACTAAAAGGGGTTATTGGGCTAAGTACATAGCTTCCAAAGACTACATGTAGCCACTGAATAAACTGGAAGAAAAGATTACAAGCAGGTTTTTAAAGTCTATGTCATTGGGTGATGTCTACAAAGATGCAGGATTTGTAACTACTCTGGTTTTGATGCAAGTGTAGGGCTATGACATGCCTCTCAGAGCATCTTACTGAAAGTGAACTCATAGGTTCAAGCCAGATCTGTTGGTCTGAGACCCTACAACCTCAGAAAAGAAGGAATTCTTAACTGTTTAGGACTTCTTTAAGCTTTGAACAAAAGTAATCTATAAGTCTACGTGTAGGTATTGGACACTTCATAGCGTTCAAGCCATTTCTCTGGAAATAATAGATGGGAATGGGATCATGACTGTTTAAATAAGTTGGGTTTTTAAAAATAGGATAGTAATATGACTTTAAAATGCAGCTGCTCTTCCAAAAACAGATCGCTAAGAGTTGATGTTTTGAAAATTATCCCATTTTCTGCTGGGACCAGAAGACATTAAGGGATTGGTTATGCACCATTAAAGCGCATCAAGGTGAGTGCAAGGATGACATTTCTGGGTGTTACTTTAGATTCTTTACTGGACATACTAGTAGCCCATTTAGGCCATTTGCTAGATTAACAGCTCAGCAGAAGTGCTGCAGATACTGAACTGTTTCCCCTTATATTACTATCTGCCAGTTTAGCATTTTATTTATTATAACATTTATTATTATAACAACTCAGGGTATTTAAGCAGAGAGCTTATTTGAGTTGGTGCAACTGATTTACTGTGTACTTCTTTTCATCCTGTAGTAAAGTAGGTTGATGTTTATTGTGGCTTCATGCCATAGGTATCTATGTAAATTGATTATAGCATCTTTATTTTTTCTGGCTGGGGACATGAAACTTGAAAAAAGTTGTGAATGTCCCTGTGGGAGATGGTGCCTTTGCTTGGGAGTTTGTTTTGGTATTATCTGACAAGCAGTGTCGGTGCCCATTATTCTGAGGAACAACTTGACGGAGATTAGTCTTCTGTTGCTGCCAGACAGGTGATGATCCGCACTAAAAATTAATCTGTGAAAAATATGTGAGTTACTTCCCCTTGTCAAAGGAAGAGATGTCTAGAGAGGCGTTTTATGGAGGAAAAAGTGCAGGTGTTTGGACAAAACATTTTTATTTGACCACAAGAGGGTATTGCAGTATCAGTTATGCAAGACTTGAGCTGATGTTTGCCTTTATATGCACTGCCTTATTTTAAAAATACACATTTATTGAAATTGATAATTTACATTAGGCTGTAGTTAAGAAAAACAGGTTTTGTATGCCAGTATTTTAAGTCGTTGTCCATAGGCAATTTCTGAGCTGTTTTTTCTAAAATTTGTTTTGTTTTTTTATAGTAAGAAATTTCTTGAAGATCAATAAGAATTTCTTGTAGATTTCACTGGAAGTTAGGGACTTCAGAGGCTGACTCCGAAACACTGAAAAACTTAATGGAAATTGCTTGGTTAAATGAAAGAATACATGAGTTACAAAAGGGAAATAATAACAGGAAATGAATGTGTTACTGCTTTGGTTGGAAGTGCATTTTGGTCCAGAACGGGCACTGTCAAAGTCAGTGGGACTCTGATCTGATTTTCCCATGAGGTCCTACTTGAAGGAATAAGGTCTGAAATCTTTTTCATGTTTGTACAGTTCAGACCATGGAAGAGGGAACTAGAACGATTTCTGGATTTTCCCATTCCTAGATCTGTTGCTGAATTTAGAAGATGAATGGTATATACGCCTGCCTGCCTCTCAACAAGCCTACCTGTAAAAAAGAAGATCACAGCCATATTGCATTATCTGTGAAGAACAAATTTCCAAGGGGTGTGATAGTGATTTGATGGACAGCAAAGCAATTTTCTTATAAGAAAGTTTGTGTTTGTGAGATATTGCAGAGATATAAGAAACACACACAATTGAAAATATAGGTGCGGTGTATATATCATATGTGAATAAGAGGCAGGAGCAAGATCATCAGCTGGAGGAGAAGGCAGCTCTCTGCAGCCAACTTTTCCAAGGAAATCACCATTTGGAAGATCTCAGCCATTTCACAAATGGAATGGAGATCCCCATGGAACTCTTTCGGTATCAGCAGTGACATTTGCGTTGTAATCATCACCTACCTTAAATGAAACAAGATCAGTCAAGTCAGTGAAGATTGCATGTTGGAACTGGTCATGGCAGTGGTTAGAAGAGTGGGGTGTTAGATGATCGGTCAGAGGGTGCAGAGCTCCCAGCAGAGAAGTGACAGATGGTAGAGCATTACTGCTGTGCTTTCTCACCAGCCCTGGGTGTTAACCAGCAAGGGCCTAGATAGTCCAGAGGTGACAGATCCTGCTGACAAGCTGTGACTTGATCTGGCAGGAGCAGTGTCTAGGGTCGCTGTATGCAGCCAAAATGGAAACAAATCCTGCAAACTGCCAGTTTGGAGTAAAAGCCCCTTCAAACAAAGAAAACGTAGCCACTTCATTAAAGGCCTCATTCATCAGGTTTTGCTGTATCTTTGATACAGAAATATAAACTTCTTCCTTGTCATAATGGAGTTCTGCTGAGAGAACCTGGCAAGCTGAGCGTCTGTTGCGTCGGCAGCGTACAAATACCACTGAGGGAATGTCTGCTTCCAGTGACACAGAGTCTGACACTTCAAAATAAAATCAAAGCTGTACTACAGACTGTAAGAAATCTGTTGTGATTTTTTTTTGTCCCCCTCTTTTAATTCTAGTGTTAAAAATATGTTAGCTACTGATAACGCAGTTTCCTTTATGTGCAACAAAAATTATTTATTTGAAAAAATATTATTTACATGACAAAAATATTAAACAGCAGCTATTCCATAGAATATGCAAGCCTTCTGCTTAAATCTGCTGCCTGAGCAAGGTGGTGGGATTTCAGGGAGGGAGCACTGCAGGGCTGGTGTATGAGTAGGGATGTTTGGAAGTACTTGGTTTGAGGAGAAAGAATACAAGAAGCGTTCCTCAGTGACTGAGCCTTATGAATGTTTTCAGCTGGTATTTCACATACTTTTGGTCTTAGAGGCTAGATTCTGTCAAGAAGTGCAATGTTGCATGGACAACCAAAGTTGTTTTCGTTACTCAGAGTCCTTCAAGTCACATCCTCACCACGGCAGGGAGCTCTGGTATCTGCATAGTGA